AGCACATAAGGGGGGGAGTCAAAAAGCTATACAACTGATCTTTATTATTCACAGATTCCATATTTGCAAATTCTCCTACAGGTATTTGCTAAAATGTATTTGTAATTTAAAAATCAATACTCACAGTGCTTTAGAGGTCATTCCTAGAAATGCAAAAAGTGGTGAAAAATTTTAGTCACTGATGAGCACGTTCCCAGTGAGATGGATAAGATGACTTTCTGCCTTCTTGTTTTTGCTCTTAGACTATAAACAAGTATTCTTCTCACAGCCAATGGAATGCTGCATTTTCCCCATTTTTGTGCTTATTGTTGGTGATGTTACTATTTAAAATGGCCCCCAAGTGAAGTGCTGAAGGCCTAAGCCCAAGATGGCTGTGATGTACCTTATGGAAAAAATATGAGTGTTAGATAAGATTCGTTCAGACATGAGTCATGGTACTGTTGGCCATGAATTCTATTGTTCTGTTCGGGCTCTCAGCAGATTGGTTGTTGCCCACCCACGTTGGTGTGAGAGATCTTCACTCAGTCTACAGATTCAAATGCTAATCTCTTTTGGAAACACCCTCACAGATACACCCAGAAACACTGTTATACTGGCCAGCTGTGTTCAAGATGACATCATAGACTATAACTACAGTGAATAATGAAAAGCAACTGTATTTTATTGGCTCTCATATTAAAAAGGCAAAATATTAGTGGCTATAACAACTTAACTCCAAACTCTCCATAGCTTAACACCATAGAAGTTTATTTTTCATATATGTAAAGTCTAATCAGGTGTTTGGTCTTACAAAAGGTGAGTCAGGGACCCAGACTCCTTTCATCTTGTGGCTCTGTCAACGTGCAGGACCTTTGCTTCTACCCAGTGGTTGGAGAAAAAGAGGAAAGTCGTCATGGATGGAAGTTCTTTATGGGCCTGCCTACAAGTATAGCACACCACTTCTGTCTTCAATTCATTGGCCAGAACTCAGTCTCGTGGCCCCGTCTAACTACAAGGGAGATGTAATCTAACCATATGCTGAGCGATTACATGAGTAGCTTTGCCATAATTCTCCTTAACATCATTTCCTATGGTTATTTATTTTTAGATAAGTGGAAAAACCCTTAGGTAAGCAGCATTTAAGTTTTTTAAAGGCTATTTTTCCAAACCGTTTCCAGTTCTTCACCAGAAGAAGCTGGTCTGTCTCTTCTCGTATGTCTTAGTTAAAGGATGCAATCCTTATAAGAACACTCTATATTCTTTTGTTATATTAATACTTCAACCAGTCCTTTAAATTTGTAAAGGACTGTTGTAAATTTTTAACTGAAAATACTTTTGTCACTGAATAAAAGATTGCATAAAAAATAGACCCAGTGCCTTCCATGAAAGAAAGTGTCGAATATAGATAGCTAATAATTGATGCTTATTCCAACTATATTGTGAGCTCCCATCCAAGTTGCTTTAGCATCAACCCATAAAATGCTGAGTCAGACCCTGTGTTATTGTGTGTATTAGACTAGGTCATAAAATAACTTTGATGCTACCTAAAAGAAATGTCTACTAACCTCTGAGATTTCTGCTCAATTTTACGGTGGTTTTATGCTATGGACTTTGATGAGTGAGATCTTATTTTGGTCTTTCTGCTCTTATTTTGGTGTCAATAAAAGTGATATCTTAGTTATCAGGCCCTCTCTTTCAGGAGATACTTTATAAGAAAAGTGTGATTTTGTGCAATGATCACCTCATGCGCTTCTTTGGAATGCTTAGGAAAACTATCATGGCCTCTGTTCCCAAGTTACAGTTACACATATATTTTATATTATAAATTTTACACAATTTTAGAGGATTCTTAACCCTGCCAGAAAAAAGGATGGTACCATGTGATCCAGTTCCACTCTTGCACACAAGCCTACAAAAATTAAAAGCCATGTCTTGAAGAGATATTTGTACACCAGTGTGCATAGCAGCATTTCTCATCATACCCAAAAGGTGAAAGCAACCCAAGTTTCCATCAATGAATGAACAGTTAAACAAAATGGGGTGTATACATACAGTGTAATAAATCAGAACGAATCTCTGATACATGCTACAACATGGATGAAAATTAAAAATATACTAAGTGAAATAAACCAGATTCAAATGGACACATGTTGTATGAGGTACCTAAAATAGGCAACTTCATAGAGACAGAAAGTGGAATAGGGGTTACCAGGGGTTGGGGGAAGGGACAATAGAGAGTTAACATTTAATGGGTACACAGTTTCTGGAAATGGATAGTAGTGATGGTTGCACAACGTTGTGAAAACACTTAATGCTGATGAATTGTATACTTTAAAATGGTTAAAATGACACATTTTATATTATGTTTATTTTACTGTTATTTAAGAAAAAGACTAGACTTTAGAGGCTGTTGAATCTCATCCAATCCCAGATCTGCTAATTACTAGGTATGTGTGACATGGGGCAAAAGATTGAATGTCTCTAAATGTCCTTTTTCTTACCTATAAAAACAGGAGTACTACTACTGACCTGAGAAAATTATTATGAAAATAAATATGATTAGCCTGTCACACAATTGCCACTAAATATAAAAAGATTAAGAAGACTAACATATCAAGTAGGAAAATCTAGTGGCCCATGCTCAGAATAAAGTATGACATTGCACTTGATCTTAGCCAAAAAACCACGAAGCGCGGTAACACATTACATAATTGCTGTTTGCCTCTGTGGAGATAAAAATATTAACATGAAATAATACAAATGCCATGGGATTTTAAAGATAAAGAAACAGAAGGACAGGCCTGGTTCTGCTCCTCCAGTGGCCAGAGAGACTGCAGGAATACAAAATCACCTCTGTCTCAGTGTGAGGTTTATTTCAGTTTCTGTTTAAATTGTTTTCAGGTTCTAATATAGGTTTTCCCAATTCTTGTGGACTGTGGGGTTTTTCTTTAACACAGGTCTTAAGTCCTGGAAGTATGTCTTGATATGGATTCTAAGACACACACACACACACACACACACACACACACACACACACACACACACACACAGACACACACAGACACACACACACATACACAAATACTTTGTGTATCTGGAGGTCAGACATTCTACCATATTAACTGTTTGAAACAGAATCACATCTGCAGAATCATGCCAAAAAGCCCTCTGTGTAGCATATATCAGATAGAAAGTCTGTGCAGAGAGGACGTGGCATGTCTCCACCCAGGTGGCTGTGTAGAAACTAAGGCACAGGAAGAGTAATGAAAGTAAGAGCTGACAGTGGAGAAAGAGGCAGGAAAATGACTAGAGCCCTTTGTAAGCCTCACTTGAGCCTGGCATCATGTATTCATGTTTAGCTTGAGACTTTCAGAAAAGGTTACATTTAATTCTGTTTGCTCTGGTTAGGAAAATAGGGGTCTATGCAGAATGCATTAAAAATGATAAAATCAGAAGGTTAAGGCTTAAGAGGTAGAATTCCATTATCTGGAAAAATCACTGTGGAATGAGGTGTTGCTATTTATATATGTACATATTCTATTTGTATTGAGACACAAATCGCTGAATTCAGTCAGTTTTCATCACCTAATTTTCTCTAGAATCTGACTACTTTTGTCTGCTTACAGCACTTAGCACAAGACCTGCCTCACAGTGGACACTGTGAATAAATGAATGAGTGAGTAAATGAATGAACAAGCAGAAGAATGAAACCGGCTCTAATATACATATGTCAGCAAAATGCATATTGCCTGCATGCAAGTAAAGACATCCAAGTGTGAAACCATCCTTTTTCTCTTTTTCAGAGCAGAAGCCACTCTCTTGGGACCATTCATAAGCAAGAGACACCAACACCGTGACACATGCCAGTGCCACCACCACCACCACCTCCTCTGCCTCCACCTCCCCCACCTCTGGGGGCTCCTCCTCCTCCCCCACCATCAGCGCCCCCGGTAAGAACTGTTTTGTATTGTTTTTTTTTTCCTGACTGGTTTACTGTGGAGATTAAGCTGCGTGAATATGCTTGAGCAGAGGGTTTTACATGTTCAGAAGCAGCCACTGCCTAGCTTCCCCGTGGCAGGTGGCGTCTTAGTTGCTGCCTCTGGAAGCTTCAGAGTCTGAATCCAAACCAGCCTGCCTCAGATATTTCTCTCCCCCATTCCTCAGCAGTTCCCACCTCCTTCTCATGGGTCTACTGATATCTACATCATGTCCCCTCTAATTCCTGCTGCGTGGTACAGGCTCCCAGATCCCCCTGAGTGACTTCCCCATCTCCCTGGAAACCTCACATGAGGGGCCTGGCCAAAGTACATAGCCGGTGAGGCATTGGGAAGTCAAATTCCCTGGTTCCCTGGTTCTAGGCTCAAGTAAGTTAAGTGTCACATGAAACGCAATGACCAAATATAAAATTTCTAAATGAAGGTTCTCTATCTACACACGACTGAATTCAGGCTATTTCAGTTTGTGTTGCTGGACACTCTCTCTTGGTTTAATAATTTGATTTAGGTTTAGAAGGGGCCCACTGAGGGTGGGTATTTTGTTTCAGTACACAGATATCCAACCTTGGCACCATTGATATTTAGGACCAGATAATTTCTGTTGTGCAGGGCTTACTTGTACATTGTAGGATACTGAGCCTCTGTCCCTGGCCTCTACCCACTAGATGCCAGAAGTACTCCCCCAGTTGTGTCAGTAAAAAATGTCCCCATTTGTAGCCAAATGTCCCCTAGAGGGGTAAAATCACCCCTCTCAGCTTTAGAAGAACATTAGTGCTTAATGCTTATAGCAAACCTTTCCCCTAAAGAAAACCTGGAGCACTTCTCACAATCTCATGCTCCATTCATCATGCCACTTCAGCCAGGGAAGTCTAGCACCACTCCTCAGCTTCTGTGTTGAGTGGAAGATAAACGATCTGAGATACAACGCGCAGAGACAGGGCTGCTTAGGGATGATATGAGCCAAGTCAGCAGAAGCCAAGAATAGAACCTCCCTGGGTACAGCCCTTTCTCAGATATGCAGATGACATGGCCATGCTGAGCATGGAGGGAGAGCCTGAGGTTTCTGCTGTTCAGCCACAGGTCCCGGTGAGGGTGAGGGTATGCCTGAGATGACACACATCCCCTGTGATGTTAGCTTTGTACACCGATCCTATCTGAGGTGCCAAGAGCATAGACCTGCCTGAAACTTGGCCCTCGCTCTCCAAGAAAGTGGAAAGAAAACACATAGTACAAATTACCTACGAAAGTTTTCTAACCAATATGTAGAAAGAACAGGAATAAGTATTGAAGTCTCACTGCTGAGTATTGGCACAAAGTCAAATTAAAGGTCATCGCCATCACCACAAGTTGATGAACAGTTTATAAGTAAAGGAAGCATACATGAAACTATCATGTGGATCTTATATAGACTTGCAAGTACTGAAGAAATGCAACTTGAATAACTTCAAATACCACCGTGTACATTTAGTCAGAACAAAGAAACGTAACAGAACCCATTGTTATTGGAGATTTGGGGGAAAACATTTCTTTTAAATATTGCTGGTGTCACACAAATATCTGGGACCCAATAAAAGCTGAATGTATCATAGTCTTCCTGTGGTAATCAGTTTTATTTTTGAGACTGCTTTAATAATTTAACCCTAAAAGAGCCAAAAAGTATTTCTACCAGGATGGGCACAGCTATTTATTCTAGTGAAAAACTAGATCTTAAATGGTTTATGAGAACTGAGATGTATTATGTCATACTGTTAATTAAAATTTTCATTATGCAGTGATGTAATTAAAAATTATATCTATGCTGATTAGGAAAAAGTAGGTATAAAATGATGGACTAAAAAACAGTACATTTTGTCCATAACAAAAAAGCTATTTAATTTATGTAATAAATAGCAAAAATCAGAAGAGAATTTGATAATGCTGATAATACAATTTAATTCTATTAGGGAATTCCTTTTCTTTAAAGATGCTTACATTCATAAAAAAACAAACATAATTCAACGTTTTGTTAATGGTTTTTTCTTTCTTTCTTTTTTTTTTTTTGAGTTGGAGTCTCATTCTGTCACCCATGTTGGAGTGCAGTAGCCTGACCATGGTTCGCCACAGCTTGACCTGCTGGGCTCAGGCAATCCTTCCCCTCATTCTCCTGAGTAGCTGGGACTACAGGTGCATGACATCATGCCCGGCTAATTTCTTTATTTATTGTAAAAATGAGGTGTTGCTATCTTGCCCAGGCTGATCTTGAACTTCTGGGCTCAGACAATCCTCTCACCTCCACCTCCCAAAGTGCTGAGATTACAGAGTGAACCACCATACCCAGCCTGTGTTTTGTTAATCGTTTGAATTCCTTTACACATTTAATTTTTCTTTCGCCATCTATGTCATGGAAGAACAAGTCAATTTAGGAGGCAAATAATCATGTAAATTTTAATATTTTCTTAAACATTTTTCTACAGTCTGGGAAAAATATTTACAATGCATATTAAAAGCAACGAATTAGTGTCCTTAGTATATGAAAAGCTCTTACAGATCAATATGGGAAGGATGAATTAGAAAAATGGGCACAGGATGTAATCAAGCAGAAGAAATACAAATATTTCAACTCATCACAGTTAAATAAACACAAATTAAATTAAAATAATGAGAGGGCAACCCCTTCAAGTCCCCTCCTACTGTGGGAGTTTTTCTGTCTTCTTAATAAATCCTGCTTTCTAAAAAAAAAAAAAAGAAGAGAGAGAGAGAGAGAGAAACTGTTTTCATCTATTAATTTAGTGATGATACTTTTTAAATGTTGGCTGGAGTATTAAGAACCAGGCACTTATAACTCTTAGTGGTAGCAGAAATTGGCAAAATATCCTGATACCATTTTTCAATATAGGTCAGACTCTGCAGAAAATGGATATACTCTATGACCCAGTTGCCCCTCAAGCAACTTTTCTTCAAGTAACTTATCATAGCTGTACAGAAACACACAGCTATAGGAGATTAATGAAAGCATTACTTGTAAAAGCAACCAAAAAAAGAAAGAAAACAACCTACATTTTTAATACCAGGAGATTCAGTAAACTAATTACTATGTATCTACCAAATGGTATATTATGCAGTCACTAAAATCAGAAGAAAAATGATTTGTAACTTTGAGTGTCCTGAATGAGTCAGATAAGGATCGTGTCCTGAATGAATCAGATAAGGATCACCCATGAAAGCTAAAACCACTGACTGAGAGGTTGTGGGGGGATGTATGTTCTCAGGATCCCAAGTATCACCCACAGGTTACTTCTAATTACAAGAGGGAAAATATCCCTTTAAAATGGATCAAACTTACTATCACGTATAACGGAATTACATCACAAGCCTTATATCACAAGCCTTTTGCTGTGACACAACAAAAGTACAAAGCATCATTCTGTAGTAATCTGCCCAAAATGAATGTACTTATGAGCAAGCAATTAGACACATTAAGAACGTGAGACATTCTGCAACAGAGGTTGGCAAGCTAGAGCCCATGGGCCAATGCCAGCTCACCGCCTGTTTTTTGGTATAGCCCTCCCTCTAAAAGTGGTCTTTACATTTTCGAATGACTTGGGGGAAAAAAATTAAAAGAAAAGTAATGTTTTGTGACACATGAAAATTACATGAAATTCAAATTTCAGTTCCATAAGTAGCTTTATTGGAACACAGCCATACTCATCCATTTCCATATTGTCTGTGGCTACTTTTATGCTACAGCTTCAGAACACCAGTTAAGCAAAACGTTATTCCTTAAGGAAAGAATCCCATGCCTCTCACTGTAGAACTGTATTTTTAAAATTATACTCGGGCCAGGCTCAGTGGCTTAAACCTGTAATCCCAGCACTTTAGGAGGCCGAGGCAAAAGGATTGCCTGAGCCCAGGGGTTTGAGACCAGGCTGGGCAACTTGGTGAGAACTTGTCTCTACAATAAATCACAAAAACTAGCTGGGTGTGGTGGTGTGCATCTATAGTTCCAGCTACTTGGAAGGCTGAGGTAGAAGGATCACCTGAGCCCAGCAGGTCGAGGCTGTGGTGGCCGTGAGCATGCCACTGCACTCTAGCCTGGGCAACAGAGTGAGTCTCCAATTAAAAAAAAATTATACTCAACTTTGATTGAAATAATAATTTAAATGTAACTTTAAAATTATACTCTATTATTACTACCACAGTTTGAATTTCGACAATAAATATTTTGTGGGAATTTGTTTTCCATTTTGATGTGAAAGTATGTACGTTATATCCCTGATTTTGCCCTTTGGCCCACAATGCCTGAAATATTTACTGCCTGGCTCTTTCCAGGAAGTTTACCAACACCTGTCCTATAGCCAGCTAAGCTCACTCAGTCTTCCATTCATCTATAGCATGTGCGCCCTCTGCCACAACTCCCCCTTCACCTTCATTCCCCCACCCCCCATCTTACCTGCAGTCAACTCCACCTGCATGGACTGGCCCTGCCTACCTCCTTCTGTGCCTCTCTCCCGAGATCTTCTACACCAAGGCTTTTGCACAGCTGTTCCTTCTGCCTGGAAGGCTCTTTCCACTCAGCTCAGTTCAGGTGTCTCTTCCTCCGACCCTGGCCTTTTTTTTTTTTTTTTTTTTTTTTTGAGGCAAAGCCTCATCTCACTGTTGCCCAGGCTGGAGTGCAGTAGCATAATCATGGCTCACCACAGCCTCAACCTGCTGCCTGGTTCAGGCAATCCTTCCACTTCAGCCTCCCAAGTAGCAGAAACTACAGATGTCTGCCACTACACCTGGCTAATTTTTTCATTTATCTTTTTTTTTTTTTGAGTTGGCGTCTCACTCTGTCGC